AAGGTAGAGCATAAAAACAGAAAAAATAAGATGGATTATGATGTATTGTTTTTGGGTTAAAATATTATTTTATAAATAGTTAAAATATTTCTTCAGAAATATTTCTTCCCTTAAATGTTAGTTCTAAATCAGACTAGTCTCAGATGTGTGTTAGTAATGCTCAGAATGGAAAACATACACCTGGGGGAAAAGAATATGTCATGGTAAATATGTTTATACAGCTGTGTGGCAATGTTAGTTATTACAGAGCACATTCGCAGAATCATGTAATGAGCCTCATTTCCAAACAACCATTAACTTTGGCTTAGAAGAAGAAATTCATTTTTCAAATGCAGACTGTACAAACGATATATAGCATCGCTGTAGCTTTCTTCTTAACTGAATGTATAAATTTGATTGTAAGTATATGTTGGCTAATTTTGAGGAAATTCAAAATTCTTATAAGACTATTTCTTATTTATAATTTATACTTTCATTGCATATAATGCCTACGCTTTTAGTACCAGACTGAGTTTCCATTAAACTTTATTGCACTTACATGGACTCTTCTGTCAAACTTTAATAAAATTATAAAATTGACTTAATTGGGTCTATCTGAAAACTTCCTTTATCATTAATAAATTTCATTTATTCTATGAGGTTATTAGTCTTGGATAACTTGTATGACTTCATTCAAACTTGTTCTAGAATATGAATAAATATTAAAAATTAAGCATGAGTAAAAGCAAATTTAAAAATATTTTCATAGGACTTTGCGGATTTACTCAAGAGTGCATAAAATGTTACCATTAACTGTGTATTGCTATAGTGCCATCTGTAAAAATATGTTATCTAGCCCGGGCGCGGTGGCTCAAGCCTGTAATCCCAGCACTTTGGGAGGCCGAGGCGGGTGGATCACAAGGTCAAGAGATCGAGACCATCCTGGTCAAAATGGTGAAACCCCGTCTCTACTAAAGATACAAAAAATTAGCTGGGCGTGGTGGCGCGTGCATGTAATCCCAGCTACTCAGGAGGCTAAGGCAGGAGAATTGCCTGAACCCAGGAGGCAGAGGTTGCGGTGAGCCGAGATCGTGCCATTGCACTCCAGCCTGGGTAACCAAAGCAAAACTCCATCTCAAAATAATAATAATAAAATACAATAAAAATAAAGATTTGATGATTTAGTATGGCTTTGCAGGGATGATTAATCATTGGATATACAGACTTTTTTAAAAAATAGAGATGTTTGTACTTTGGTGGAGTAATGTTAGGCTTTCAGCTTCGTGGGTGGAAGAACTCATTTTTACCAGTTTACCCAAAAGTAACTGGAAAGTACAGAGTCAATTTATTGTGTACAGTAGGTAAAAAACAAAAAACCGGCTCAAATCAGAACAGTACACTTTCATTTGGTAAGTTGAGTCTCTTAGAAGACAAAGTTATGTGGAAGGATCACATGAACACAAAGAGGTTGTGTGTGGAAGGATCACTTCAAACACCTGTGTGTTTGAAGTTACAATGAGCTATGATCATGCCACTGCACTCTACCTAGATGACAGAGTGAGACCCTGTCTGTAAAAAACATTTTTTTTTAAAAGAGGTTGTGTGAAATTTATAATTAAATCAAAGGCAGTTGGATGTTCTTTTTCTTTGTTTGTTTTTGAGATGGAGTCTCGCTCTGTTGCCCAGGCTAGAGTGCAGTGGCACGATCTCAGCTCACTGCAACTGCCTCCTGGGTTCAAGTGATTCTCCTGTTTCAGCTTCCCGAGTAGCTGGGACTACAGGCACCTGCCACTATGCCTGGCTAATTTTTGTATTGTCAGTAGAGATGGGGTTTCACCATGTTGGCCAGGCTGGTCTTGAACTCCTGACCTCATGATCTGCCCTCCTCTGCCTCCCAAAGTGCTGGGATTACAGGCATGAGCCACTGCGCCTGGCCTGGATGTTCTTAAGCATTATTTTAATTGAAATCAATAACCTAATGAATTTACTTTATAGCATAAATATTTTGGTGTAAAATAAGTAGATGCCTTTTCCAGAAGCAAAGATCATATTCTCCTTATCACTACAGAAGACACCCTGATTAGTTTTTTGTCTTTGACTCTTTCCTTAAAAAAAAAAAAAGAATTCCTGGAGATTATTTTTCTCTTTGTGATGTTGATGTACTATGCTTTTCAAACTCATTGGTGTGGTTTGGGATGCACTTTATTCTTCCTTAGAATATACACTTTCCACAAAACAGACTTGGGATGGGTTACTTCTAAGGATGATTTGGGCTGCATAGGTCAAAACTACTCAAGTTGATTCATGTTCATTTCAGTTTTTGATTCAAGATAAACATTTTTTAGAATTCTGTCATTCAATAATGTATTGTATGTAGAGAACAGAGGAAGTCAGAAAGAGATGTGTCAACACTGTGTTTAGTGATTTATACCTATCAGCTCACTGGTTTTCTAAACATTATAACTGTTTGAAGCTCATTATGAATACCCGGGATATTATTACATTCATTTCGATAAGATGGACAATATGGTTGTTACAAATCAAAGTGAGTAAAACCTGTATGCCACTAGGATTGTCTGTGAATGTGTTATTTCTCTCTTCTTGTTTTTTAGGACCCCATTGACATGTTTACATATATGCACATTTACTTGAACTTATCATCAAAAAGTTAATTCTCAGCATTTATCGCCTGTTTTGTAGTTGGTACCGTGCTGAGCACTCTGGTGCCAAGGAGAAACACAGGGGAGTTCCCGTCAGGTGGCTCCATGAAGGTCTCATTTCAACATCATATCCCTCATGGAAACAAAAGAATATAAAAGAGAAAACTAAAACGACATACCTAGCCTCAAAATCAAGATAAACATCTCTAAGGACCAGGAGGTGACCAGAAATAGAAACTGATAAGTAGGCTGGAACTCCGAGCCTGCCAAGCTTCTGCCCACAAGCAGAAAGTTGCTTAATTACTCCTCAGCCATTTCTCAGGAGATGGGGAATAGAACCAAGCTCAATTCTTGAAGGAAGGAGTGGAAGCCAGGAGAATCCTTCCCCCAGCCTGATTTCCATCATTGTTAATGGCCGCTAAGTTAGCTGCCAGTGCTGCCTGGGGCTGTGGTGTTACTGGAAGCTGTGGACGAAGGAGCAAAAGTAGGATAGAAACAGTTTAGTGACCAGAAACTGAGCAGGTTGTCTGCTGGCTCTGTAACATGCCCAGTGTCATCCTTCTAAACTATTATTATTCAAGGACGAGGCTGGGCATGGTGGCTCATGCCAGTAATTCCAGCATTTTGGGAGACCAAGGTGGAAGGATTGCTTGAGAGCAGGAGTTCAAGACCAGCCTGGGCAACATGGCAAAACTCTGTCTCTATAAAAAATACAAAAATTAGCAGCTGTGGTGGTGTGTACCTGTAGTGCCAGCTACTCAGGAGGCTGAGGTGGGAGAACCTGAGCTGGAGAAATCAAGGCAACAGTCAGTCATGGATCACATTATGGCACTCCAGCCTGGGGTCAGAGTAAGACCCGGTCTCCAAAAAAAAGGAATGAGGACAAAATTAAGACATTTTTAAATATGTAGAATAAGAGTGTAAGAGGATTTACCATTCACATAACCTTTCTAAAAGAAATACTAAATGGTGCACTCAGTAGGAATAAATGTCCCAGAGGAAAGGTATGGTGAGATTAGAAAATATAGTGAAATTGATTGAAATGTTAGAGGTGTAAGTAGTCATTTCTTGTTTTTGAGAGTGTGTGAACATGATTTATTCAATTATAGCCTTAATTTAACTACAAAAAAAAAAAAAAAAAAGCTCTTAAGATACTGCAAATGTCCACCTAGTTGTTAGGTAACCAAAAGAGAGAATGACTTCAGAGTCAAAGTAGTGTAAGCGATGGAAAGGAAATGTGGGTGTACCTTGCAGACATATCTAGGATTCCGCTTTGTTACTCATGGGAGATTGTGCAGGGAAAAGGAGCAATGTGAGCAAATTGCATTAAGGCAATGATGTATATGACTCATTTTGAGGGTAGTTTGGCCAGGGTTTATGTAAGAGGGTGATTGCGGAGGTTATTTTGAACCTTTTAGAATCCTTCTAATAGGCACTAGGGTATCTGTATTGAGATAAATGAGATGGTATCCTTTTAGGCTGACTTTTTTCCTAGGCAAGCTCTAGTATTTGTTTTCTTTAAATGAGCAACATACGTATCTTTAAGAAATTCACAGTAATTGTCTTCAGGGCTTTCTTTTCCTGGTAAAATGCCATATTCTCAAGTTGTGTTTTCTTTTCTTCTGATGATTAGCTTAGCTAATTTGAAAGGCTCTATCACTTTGTGTTATATCAGCTTTAGTTAAAACCTGTTTTTCACTTTGTTCCTTGGTTGATCCTTAGACGAATGAAGGCCAATTACATATTAGTATAAAGTAAGTGATATCATAGCACCAGAGAGAATCTTCTGTAAACCAAAGCCTGTTGTTGCTTCCAATTTGTGTTGTCTAGGGAACAAAGGTATCTTTGCACCAAAGAGACTGGGAGAAGTTGGGATTTACTTTGCTTCAAGTATAAAACTGTGTAGAGCAAGGGTTAAGGAACTCTTAAAGGAAGGGTACCTTCTAGTGCTCTTCTCTTTTTTCTTTTATAGATGGAAGAGACTATTTTTTAAATTTTTAAATATTTGTTTTCTTTTGAGACTGAGTTTTGCTCTTTTGTCCAGGCTGGATTGCAGTGGTGCAATCAAAGCTCACTGCAGCCTGAAACTCTCAGGAATTTCCAGGGATCATGCAAACAATCCTCCTGCCTCAGCCTCCCAAATAGCTGAGCCTTCAAGTGCATGCCACTACATCCTGCTAAGTGTGTGTGTGTGTGTGTGTGTGTGTGTGTGTGTGTGTGTGTATTTTTTGTAGAGACAGGGTCTTGCTATGTTTCCAAGGCTGATTTCCAACTCCTGGCCACAAGTGATCCTCCTGCCTCGGCCTCCTAGAGCACTAGAGTTATTGGCATGAGCCACTGTTTCTCATCCATTTGTTTTCATGTCAGACTGATAATGTGCCAACATAGTAACAAGGTTTGAGGAAGGCATATTTCACACACCAGCATGAGACCCAAATCATCTTGCTTATGTAGTACAAGCAGACTAGGAAGAGATGATTTTAATGAGGGAGTGAGATGGTGGATGCTAACTTAAACAATAGCAAGGAATTGAGCGTGTGGTCACAGCAGCCAGCACTCATGTGATCTTCGACTGTGGACCAAAGGAATCTAACTCTTGTCTCTGGAATTCCCAGAAGTACTTTATATTTCATAAGCTCTTACTACTGTGCTTTAACCGCGTTGCTGTGTGTCCAGAATTATGATGAACTGAGGTTATAAGAATAAAAGTAAGTTGCGACTTAAAGAAGAACCACTGCTTGCAAGACGGCTTAATCGTGTCTTCATATCTTTGCAATTAATCTGTGGGTTTGCATCGAGTAGCAGTTTGTTCCGTTTATGTACTTTTCCCTCAATAAATTGTTTTAGAAGCCAGATTACTTTGCAGCATAAATCACCCACTTTTTCTTCTGACTTACCTGTTTTCAGTGTTGTATTCTGTCCTCTCCCCTCAGTTTCCTACTTTTCCCTCAGGTTGCTTTAGTTTCTGCTTTGCTTATGTTCTTCCCCCTTATTCGATGTGTTTGTCATACATTTATCACCTTGATAATTGATATCACCTTGTGGCTGTTTTCCTTTCCCATATTTCCTTTACTGTCTGCCTTCTATGACTTCCTTTCTTCATTCTTTTCTCCTCTGTTTCTTTTTGCCTTGGTTTTCTTATTAAAATCTTTTTCTTGAATGGGTTTCTTAAAGGTTAATTATAGGGGGTTGACTCACGGATTAATCAAAGTGTTTCTTTTTAACTTTAGTTTATTGTTGGCCGAATTAGCCGGCAGAATAATAAAGCAAAGCATAGTATATTCTTAAGTAAACTTTTGTTGAACTTACTTGGTTATTTGAGGTTTCACTAAAGAATGTGAGCTAGAAAAATGGCAGAGTGATAGGGATGTGCTTTCATGTCTGAGTATTGACGTGTGATGTAGTGGGAGCGAGAATGAACAGTTGCCAGAAGCAGCGATGTGATCTTGGCTGTGAGACAGTTTGCACTCTCAACCTGATGACTAGGTATTTATAGCAGAAATGCCAACATGAAAACAAAATCAAGAAATGTGCGCTTGAAAAAACTTCTAATTATCCTTTAAAGTTTTGGGCTAGAGTAAAACAGTAGTGACTGGAACTTAGGAAATTAGATTTATTTGATGTGAGAAGTACAGCCTGTACCCCACCTTCTTGGCACTCTTGGTAGGTCCTTGTATTCTCTTTAAAGATTTACCTATACAATAGTTAGAAATGAAATATGATATTAAGACTGAATTATAGAATATTTACAAATTAAGCAAATAAAGTTTTATTTTTATAGATAAGACCGTTAGCTTTTATATAGATCAGAATGCTAGCTCGTGTGTATCAATATAGAGATGTTACTGTTAGACCCAAATGATCTAGAATATGAACTTCCAAGTTAGAGTTTATTTGAAAAAGAAGTTGAATTATAAAATATCTAAATTACTTGAACTATTTTTCCCTCGTAATAATTCTGTTAGCTTAGCAATAAGATGTCATCTGTGATGGGCTTCCTTTTTCTCTTTACTCTCTGCTTTTACTACTTACCTTTATGTCTTTAAAAAAAGTAGCAGGCCAGGCGCAGTGGCTCACACCTGTAATCTCAGCACTTTGGTTATTTGAGGTTTTGGTTATTTGAGGCCGGGGCAGGATGATCACTTGAGGTCAGGAGTTCAAGACCAGGCTGGCCAGCATGGCAAAACTCCTGTCTCTACTAAAAATACAAAAATTAGCCAGGCATGATGGCACATGCCTGTAATCCCAGCTCAGGAGGCTGAGGCAGGAGAATCACTTGAACCTGGGAATCAGAGATTGCAGTGAGCTGAGATTGTGCCATTACACTCCAGCCTGGGTGATGGACCAAGACTCTGTTTCAAAAAAATAAAGTTGCAAGGTATTAGCACTGAACATTCAGTAAAGGAGTAGATGAGGCGGGGCACGGTGTCTCACACCTGTAATACCAGCACTTTGGGAGGCCAAGATAGGAGGATCTCTTGAGACCAGGAGTTTGAAATAAGCCTTGGTAACATGGCAAGACTATGTCTCTACAAAAAAGAAAAAAAAAAATGGAGTAAATAAAATATAAAATAGGAATCTCTAATTAGTATTTATCTTTGCAATGACTCTTATGAAATTTGAGATTCAAACTCTTTGATACACTCTAAATCCAAGTGGTGATAACTTGTTTCATTTCCAGATTTGTACTTAAGTGTAGGAATAGTTCATCTTTTTCAAATACATTCTGAATTTTAAAAAATGGGTAGGGTCTGCTTATATAACTCATACTGTTTTATTTTGTTGGTTGTTTTTTTTTAACCCAAGCTTACATAGGTTTTCTCTAATTCTAGGTGATCCAAAGGAAATCATTAAAATCTTTGGGTTGTTTGAAATTTCTTGCTTCTCTGTTTGAAATTAGTCTGGATCAAAGGGTCCAGGATTTAAGTTTTTAAAAGAAACTTTTTAAAAATAAAAACTCTTTTAGGGAGACTTACACAAATTCTCAGTTGAACTTTTCAAATATAATACTTAAATCCAGAAATAAATGTGTATATTACTATATACAAATTTAATTGCTTTCCAAAATATACTACACCTAAGGGATATTCATTTTATGCTTTGAAGTTGGGTTCAGAAAATTTTTTGTGTGTGTGACCTGGTGATGTCTGTACATTATTATTAATTTGGATTGTAAGTTTTCTTTGGAACGGTTCAAGGGGCTTTGTCTTTAGAAATAAGATGACATGTTACCATGACTTTACCTCCGTTTTCATTCTTCTTGCCTCCCTCTTTTTTTCCACTTATCCTCTTGAAAAGATTATAGTCATTTATCACTGTGACAATAGGCACTGCAAATACTATTATGGATATGAGACCATTATTCGCCCTTCCCTCCCTCCCCCTATTCCCCAGAGATATAGTGAGAGATCTTGTGAACCTTAGTTTTTGGCACTGTCAAAAGGTGTGAGTAAGTAAGAATCATAGGCCAGGTGTGGTGGCTCATACCTATAATCCCAGCAATTTGAGAGACCAAGTCAGGAGGATCTCTTGAGCCCAAGAAGTTTAAGACCAGCCTGGGCAACACAGCATTACCTCATCCCTGCTAAAAATTAAAATTAAAATAGTCAGGTATGGTGGTGTGCCCCAGTAGTCCCAGGTACTCAGAAAGCTGAGTTGGGAGGAGTGCTTGAGCCCAGCAGTTTAAGGCTGCGGTGTACCATGATTGTACCACTGCACTCCAGCTTGGGTGACAGAGCAAGACTCTGCCATTCATTCATTCATTCATTCATTCATTAAAAAGGAAGGAAGAAAAGGAAAAAAAAGATCATAATAACAATGACTGAGCATTTTTCATATGCTCCTGGCTTTCTAAAATGTGAGTTCAACTCTGGTTGTCCTGGACAGTGTCTCTGAGTAGCTGTTGTCGGTGTATCAGTATCAACAGTAACTATCATTGCATTATAATTAGAGATTGGGGAAAGCAGTTGTTTCCAAAAGTTATGCTTCTTTGATCTAAATAAATGGTACATTTTAGCTTTATGCAAGATTAGGGATTATTTTAGGGAATAATGGGAATGTGACGATTCCCTTTGTTTCTATATAGGGGATATGAGCTTGATTCTTGACGCTGGATTTGACTAGCTCCTTGCAAAGCCAGCAGGGTGTAGACGTGTATTACCAAGCCATTACAGTTGGCAAAGGAAGGAAGGAATTGCCTAATATCCCATAGGGATGGGAGGGAGGAGTGCATAACATTCCTTCAGTGTGATTGAGGGCTCTCTTGACTGTATGAGTAAGAGAATGCGACTTGAAGATATTAAGTAGAGTCCATACTTAGGTCATAAGAACTCATGGTCATTGACCGAGATATCCAGGAAAGCAAATGGTGTTGAGTGATTAACCAAGGCAGATGCCTTAATTTAGGAATGCAACAAAGAACTTACTAGTTCTTCATTTTTTCAGCTCCTCAACTTTTTCTCTCATCTTTCATTCTCTCGTAGTGTAAGACGTTGTTGGTGACAGATCTTTGCAAGGTCTACGTACTGAATATTACTAACAGCATGGTGATAAACGTCTCTTCTGTGTCTTTAAGGCACAAGTCGCCTCGTTGCTAACATAAGTCAGAACTCTGATACAATGCCCTGCTTAGTAAATAAAGTACTTTTCTGCTATCAGTAATCCTTTAGGCTTGCTTTTTCTGTTGTTGATGCTTTGTAGCCAAAGTATTAGAATGCCCATCTCCTTTGGTGTTTCTTTACAAATTCAGTGCTTGAACCAACACTTATAACCTATTTGTCCTGGCAATTTTTATTATAAGATTAGATAGTGAGTTTTGTTGTATAGGAATAGAATGTTAGAATTCACTTTAAATATTTACCCCCTTCATTTTTGTCTAAAGTGTAATGATCCTAGGTTGAGTGCCTGGAGCAGGCTAACCTTTGGATTTTTCTTCTCTAAAATATTTAAGATTAAAGGTGCCTCTGATGACTGCTGCAGGTTTTATCTAGCCCCAGTGATAGCATTCTGAGTAGCATACTTTATGGAAGACATATGGTTGCTTGATATGGGCATTGGGACAGCTGCCTTCTTGTGTTCACACTTCACAACACGAACTGGAGCATTTTCTGATCCACACCCAGGAGGTTCATTCTGGCTAACAGCTCAGGAAAGTCTACCATTTAGGGATGATAATGGTCAGCAAGGACTTGTCTAGGCTTTTGACAAAGGAGCCTTAGTCTTGAAGAGCCTGATTGTGGAGCATGCCAATCAATTGCGATGAATTTTGTTTCCGTCTTTTTGAAATGGTATTTGCTAAGCTTAGTGACATGTTGCCCTTAAATATGGCTGGATACCTTTTTGCCTTCTATGACTTACTTGTAGTTTCTAATGTATGCCATTTATAAATGTACTTTTTCAGCCAGGCTTAAGTTTTGAGCCTAACAACAGATCTGTGTTGGTATATTTTCAAGGGTTTTTTAGGAGA